CCGCCGCCGAGCGCGAGCTGGAGCTGCTGCGCGCCGGCCTGGAGCACCAGTGCGGGGTGAGCGAGCTCCTGCGGGGCCGGCTGCGAGAGCTGGAGGAGGCCCGGGCGGCTACGGAGGAGGCGGCAGAGGCTCGGGCGGCTACGGAGGAGGCGGCAGCGACCCGGTCTCCGTCCCGCGAGGCTGCAACCCAGACCCCGTGGGGTTGTGTGGAGAAGTCCACGCAGACCGAGCCCCCCGCGGATGGGGACAGGGCCACGGCGCCCGTGGGTGAGTCCCCACCTCCCCCGGAGCCCCGGCTTGATGACCACTGGTCTGGAATTCAGTGCCCTTATCTGATCCCTGGCAGGCGTCCTCAAATCCATCATGAAGAGGAGAGATGGAACGCCTGGCACCCAGCCTAGCCCCGGACCCAAGAGCCTGCAGTTTGTTGGGGTCACCAATGGAGAGTGAGCATTGCCCCCTCCTCCTGACAGCAGCTGTGGGAACATGGACTGGGGTTTGAGTTCCAGCTCTACCCTCCTGGGAAATGGGCATAGCCGGTCCCACCTGGCAGGACTCGGGACCGAGCCCACAGGGGAGGGTCAGCGGATGCCTCCCAAACCGCCCCCAGGTACGAGAGCTCATCCAGTGAGGAAGACAGTGACAGCGAGGACGGTGCTGCCGACCCCTTGAGGAGCAGCTCCTGTGGCTCCGAGGACGACAGCGGCCAGGGATCCGACTCGGGCACCCCTGGACCTCCCGGCAGCGGAGTCGTTCGGGCACCGCAGCGGGAGCCGGAGCCGGAGCGGAAGCCAGAGCGGGAGCCAGAGCCAGAGCCAGAGCCAGAGCCGGGTTCGCCGGGGAGGTGAGCAGCGCTAGAACTCTGGAGTGGGGACCGTTGTTCTCTCTCCAGTTTCCGCGCCCTCCTCCCACCACTCCTCTCCCCACCTCCTCCGTAGGTGCGAACTGAGCCCGCGATTGAGGGAGGCGTGCGCAGCGCTGCAGCGGGAGCTGAGCCAGCCCCGTGGGGTCGCCCGTGACAGCGTGAGTGCGTGAGGAGACAGGCCTTTACACATGAAGCCGTTGAGTCCGCCCAGGACCTCTCGATGTCCTTAGGGAAGCGCCTCTATTGTCTAGAGTTGGGGGAGGGTCTGGAGTTCCGTCCCCTAGCGCCTGGGACCTCCACCAATCCCAGACTCCAAAGGAATCTCCCTAAAAGCATCCCGCCCAGGCACTATCAGAGTCCCGGGCCCACTCTGACTCCCCAAAGGAAAGCGCTCACCAGGTCTCCCACACTCTTCCCCAGAAGAGGATCCCTGCTCCTGTGAGCCCGGGGCCCAACGTACTCCCTCTTCCGAAGGGGTGCGGCCCCACGGGTCCCCACGGCCCTCCTTCGTGACCATTCTCCCCCAGCCTGGACTCCCAGCCCCAACTCCATGGCCCCGGGGCCTTCGCTGATGCTCTTCCCTGTCCCCGCAGGGCGCAGCGCGCCTGGTGGCCCTGGAGTGGTTTCGAGTGTCCAGCCAGCGCCGGTCGCAGGCTGAGCTTGTAGCTGGGGTCCTGCGGGCGGTAGCACGCCTGGGACAGGAGCTGCTGGCCCACGTGGTGAACCTGGCGGACGGCAACGGGAACACAGCCCTGCACTACAGCGTGTCCCATGGGAACCTTGCCATCTCCAGCTTGCTGCTGGATACTGGTCAGCATGGGGGGGGGGCAGGCACTAGGCAGTGGGGTGGACAGGTAGAGCCTGGGCAGCTGGGACCACCATCTCTTACTGGGTGTTTCAAGAGCCAACATGGACTGACCTGAGTGCTGCCCCTGACCCTTCACTCACTTTCTAGGCTTTTGAATTATGTTGTCCTAAACTTAGTGGGATTATTTTATCTCTTAGCTTCCTTACCTGTGAAATGAGAATGTATCATCTCCCTGCCTGGACAGCTGTAACACCTGTCAGGCAGGTAGTATGAAACTCCAGCCACATGTCCGGCCAGCTGCCTTTCTAATCTTGAGGGAAGGTACTCACTGGTCAGGGTTGTGACTACCATCTTGGTCTGGGACTGTCCCCTATCCTCCAATTCCACTTCACACCTTCCCATCCCCTGGCTCAGGAAGATACACGGTACCAGGTAGTGCTGGAGTGGGCCACCCATGCTGCTTTGCCCATGGGGCCAACTGCCCAAGAGCCCTGAGTGCCCTCCCTGGCCTGCAGGTCTTGACCAAAGTAAGGTCACAGCTACTCTGGGTTGTGGCTTGTGAGGGGGTGATGCATCAAGTTATTTTCTAGGCATCCTCTGCCTTAACGGGGATTGGCTGTCATTGATGAGACCCAAGGCTCCAAGGACCCTTTCACCCTGTATTGAACCCCATTCAGCCATCAATTACCACCAGTATCCCCTATACCCCTACCCAACCCACCTGCGGTTTGTCAGCCTGGTCCAACCTCACCCAAGAACAATGAACCTCATACAGGGGCTGCTTTCCTTTCATCCCTCCAACTTAGCTTCCCAGTTCCTTCATCTTGATGTATCAGCCTTACACTTGAAAGGTCACCTTAAAACCCTGATGTCACCTCCTCCAAAACCTTACTCAACAACCCCCTTCACAACTTTCACCTCCCTGGGGTTTCAGCTTCCTCTGCTACTCCCTTACTCCAACAATCCTCAATCTTAAGGGATCCCAGTCATATGGCATTAAGGCCTACCATGACCTCATTTGTTACATCTGCAAAGAGCCTGTTTTCAAGTAAGATCACATTTACAGTTCTTCAGCTACATTCAATCTGTCACAGGCTTGGGGAAGGGGAGGATTCCAGAGGAACCTAAGTTAACAGCTTCACAGGTCATGGTGGACAATAGCATTTATGCCAGGAGTCAACAGGAAAGTTTTAAATAGACTGGACCAAATTTATCTATTTCTGGCTGCTGTAAGGAAAGGAAGGGCACTTGGATCAAGGTGAACAATGGTGGTTTGTAGCCATAAAAATAAACATCCTTTATTAAGTGCTAGGTGGAGGGTAGAACACAATGTGAGGGAGGAGCCACAGGACATGGTACTTTGTGGGACCACCTATAACACAAATGAACTGGGAGGTGAGTGAACCAGGTTGGGCTAGGGTTGTGGGCTTAGCTGACCGATCCCCTATCTCCTAGGAGTCTGCAACGTTGACTGCCAGAACCAAGCAGGCTACTCTGCCCTTATGTTAGCTGCACTCACCTCTGTTGGGCAGGAGGACATGCCTGTGGTCCAAAGACTCTTCCAAATGGGCAACGTCAATGCCAAGGCTAGCCAGGTGCGTGGATACCTCCAGTTCAGGAACCAACCCTTATTTTGACCTCCCTTCCCCTAAAACCCACCCAGCCCTCTCTTCCCCACCCCTCAGACAGGGCAGACAGCCCTCATGCTGGCCATCAGCCATGGCCGACAGGACATGGTAGCAGCCCTGCTAGCATGTGGGGCTGATGTCAATGTGCAAGATGTGGACGGAGCCACAGCACTGATGTTTGCCAGTGAGTACGGGCACCTGGAAACTGTCCGGATGCTACTGGCCCAGCCAAGCTGCGATCCTGCCCTCCTGGACAATGTGAGCTACTGTGGGTGGGCTGGTTGGGTAGGCAGGGTACCCATGCCTTGGTTCACTGACCTAACTGTCCGGTTTTCTTCAGGAGGGCACCAGTGCCCTGGCCATGGCTCTGGAGGCCGAGCAGGATGAGGTGGCTGCTCTGCTGCATGCCCACCTGAGTTCAGGCCAGCCTGGTCCCCCGGTGAGTATAGCTCCAACCTCAAGCAACAAAACTTTACAGCTGCAGTGTGTGAGGATATCCAGCATGCTCTAGGAAGGCCTCACCTTCTTACTCCTTCAGGGAAACCCTGGGAGAACTGGGGATTTAATCTCCTATGTGGCTGGGACATTCCCTCCATCTTACGGATTGAGACCGAGGCCTGCACAGGGAGTGACCTGATCATGATCAGAGGCAGCCTGGCAGAGTATCTGTCAGTTACTGTCCCCAAAGAGGCTCAGAGCAAAGGAGTGAAGGACCCTTTGTATTTAGGCCTGGTTGGGGAAGAGGGTGTGGGCACCCTGCAAGTAAGAACTTCAGAATTGGAGACTGGATCAGTCTGCCAGCAGCCTGTTTGTCCCTCAAAGGGGAATGAGTAATTCTCAAAGCTAAACCTGCCTGCCCATCCTGCTCTTTCCAGCAGAGATGCGGGAAAGGAGGCATGGTTAAGTGCCCCTTCAGGTCAGACGGGGTAAAGGCAGGATTCAAACCTAGGCAGCCTGGCCCCACTGTGAAGGAGTTTCTCCTTAGACATGACCACCATGGAGCGGAACGAGACTTCCACTAAGTTAAGCATCCTTGAGTCTATGGCATCTGAAACCACAGCATTGTCCACAAGAGAGTGACATGACCTCCACCACCTTTCTCACCAGTCACCCCCTGACTCTCCCCCCGCCATGCCTGGCCAAAGAGGAAGCAGTGAGGATGGAGAGGACGCCCAGACTCAGTGAACGGCCTCGTACAATGGAGCTGGATACGGATAGGGTGGGGATAAGGGTTGACCTTTCCCAATAAAACATTTCTAACTAAACTTGTATCTTGTTTTAGAAGCAGATATAAACACTTGGTTTCCCTTCTTCAAAAAGGGGTAAAACCTCCCCCCCCCCCCCACTTACCGGAACGCAAAGGGGCCAGTGACCCACCAGAAGATATTATAAGCCTAGTGATCCCAGACAAGAACCCAAATTTACACAAACACTTTATTAACAGTGGCACATCTTCCCCGTGGGCTCTGTGTTCACCCAGCCAGCCAGCCAGGACCCTGTAAAAAGACCCAAGCATGAGATGCTGACAGGCCTCCCAGCAACTGGCAAACTCCCTCCTTCCCAGCCTCGCAGCCCTTACCCTCCTCCTCCAAGAGCCCCCATCCCCGGGCTTGCCAAAGCCTCCCTACCACCCGCCGCGAGTGTGACAGAGGCTGGCCCCCAGTCCCCCATGCCGGCGCTGCACTCACCAGACACAAGTTCAGCGCAACCTCCGGGCCTCTCGCTCGGACTCCAATAGGGTGAGCACGTCGCCCTCGCGCACAGGGCCTTTCACGTTGCGGATGATGGAGCGGCTCGTGTCGTCCATGAACTCCACGCGGACCTACGGGGCCCACGGGAGTGGGGTGGGGCGGAGGCGTGTGAGCCAGATCTAGATTTCCACGGCGCGAAGGGAAACTTAGGGGGATGAGGCTCGCTCGCAGGTAGGGCCGGGCTGGGAGGAAAACCAAAAAGGGCCGAGACTGGCAAACCAAGTTGTCAAGCGCCAGAGGCTACCACCATGGGGTGGGGGGTAACTGCAGCTCTGGGCCCGCTGGATGGGGGGTACCACCGTGAAGCCTCGGCGTCCATGGAGACCGCTGAGCGCAGGTAAAGGGGTTCACTGGAGCGCAGACCCGGCTGGCAGGGCCTTGGTGGGGGTTCGACCCCCCAGGAAGCCTGGGATAAGGGCTTCTCGGGATAGTCCCCGCCCGCTCACCTGCGTGCACTGTCCCTGGGAGCCGGTCCTGCCCAGCACCTTGGTCACCTGGAGGGAAGAAGCTGGGTCAGTACCCGGCCCGGTGCCCTCCTCCCCGCCCCACCGGCCTCACTGCGGCCCGCAGCGCCCGCACCCTGCTCACCCTGGCCAGCTTGATGGGCTGCACGCGACTCGTGTCCATGATGGCGGCAACAGTCGGGCGGAAAGGAGTCACGTGGTCTTGGGAAATCCTTTATACGCCGTCCTAGCCCCGCCCCCGCTCTCGCGAGATTATACACGTATTTCCCAGCAGCCCCCGCTGCAGCACCGCCGCCGGCGCCCTTCAGCGCGGAGAGAAGATGGCGTCCGCCACCCGGGTTATCCAGAAGCTGCGGAACTGGGCCTCCGGGGTGCGCGCGGCGGGGAGGAAGGGCCGCGCGGGGATGGGCGTGGGGGGCTGCGAGCTCCGGCGCCCGGGACCCGCTCCTTCTCTCTGTCCTGTACCCTGGTCTGAACGCCTCGGTGCCAGATCTCCCCCGCTCAGCCCGGGACCCCGAACTCTGGAGGCCTTCAGCCCGGGACACACCCACTTCCACTCCCACCCTTTGCCAGGGGCACACCTACCTCCACTCCCACCCTTTACCAGGGACACACCCACCTCCACTCCCACCCGTTGGCAGGAGACCTGGCATCTCCCCAGTTCCTGACCGTATTAGCCTTGGACCTGGTGGTCCCGGCCCCGACTTGTCCTTTTCACAGGGCCCAATCCTGTCTCCACATGCCCATCTCTCTCCTTCCCTTCATCTCTCCATCCCTGGGCTGTCCCTCTCCCTCCTGGGGTGCCCTGCTGGCTGACCTCCTTCCTTTCCTCCTCCACAGCACAACTTGCAGGCGAAGCTGCAGCTACGTTACCAGGAGATCGCCAAGCGGTGAGCCGGCCCCGCTCGCTGCTCAAACCCTCGCCCTGTTCTGCCCTCCTTCCACCAAAAGCAAAGCCCGTGTTCCTTTAGACCCTGAAGCCCTGAGCCGGAATCCTGCCTCCAGCTTCCTTGCCAATTGGTGGTATCATCCCCAAGCAATAGGTGGGGGAAAAGAATTGAGGCGTGGAGAGATTAAATCATTTGATTAAAGCCATTCAGAAGCTAGAAAGTGACACCTGGGACTTGAACCCAGAAGTGTCTTGATTTCAACTCAAGAAAGCCCTTGCCATGTCCTCAGCCTTGGGGATACCAGTGCAAACAAGAGAAGTTCTGGTCCTCATTCCTTCATATCCTAGGGAGAGGAAAACGTAGGGAAAAAACACAGCAGGCAAAAAACAACAACAACAACAAAAACAAACAAAAGACCCCACGTTATTCTGGAATGCTCCAAAGATAAATGAGAGTAATCTGGAAAGTTACTATCCCAGGTCATGTGGGTCAGGAAAAGTTTCTTTTCAGGGATTGACATTTGACTCACCTAAATGTTGAGAAGGAGCCAAAGGATAATTATTGAATAAACTTTCTGGGCAGAGAGAACAATAAGCACGAGGCTGTAAGGCCCAACAGAGCCAGAAGTAGGAAGGAGGCCAATGTTCAGATACAAAGGCAGGAAAGGGGGATAGAAGGTTAAGTCTGTGGCAGGCAGAGGTAAGGCAGTGTTGGAGAGTTGGCAGTAAAGACATTAAAATGGACTAATAGCCAAATTGACTAATTCCTAATATCAAAAGTTTAAGTTGATTTTTCATCCAGGGTTTGGGTCAATTGAGGAAACTTGTAAAATTTTCAGCTTCTTTAGGGTATTGGCATCCCCTAGTATTTCATTTGGGCTTTCCCCTTCAGCACTGGTTCTTTTTTTCTTTTTCTTTTTTTTAAAATTAATTTCAGAGAGGAAAGGAGAGGAAGAGAGACATTAATGACGAGCCTGGCCAGCTGGTGTGGCTCAGGGGTTGAGCATCGACCTATGAGCCACCATTTGATTCCTGTTAGGGCACATGCCTGGATTGTGGGTTCAATCCCCAGTGAGGGGAGTGCAGGAGGCAGCCGATCAGTGATTCTCATTGATGTTTCTATCATTCTCTCCCTCTCCCTTGCTCTCTGAAATAAATTTTAAAAAAAGGAGGCTTGGAATACAAGGTGCTCTTTGATTTATAAGCCTTGATCCCTGCGGGGTTCTGCAGAGCAGCGGTCACCAACTTCTCAGACATCATGGACCGCTGTCCACAGACCACCAGTTGGCGACCGCTGCTCCAGAGAACCCAGAATTTGTGTAGTCTAGCCTTTGGGAAGGAAACCCCTCAGAATATTGCCCAAGCTTTTACCGATTAACTACTAGATAGGTAATGGGAGAGCCTCTCAGCCTGGCTTCTCCATTTCCTGAGCATCTTCAGCTGCCAAGCTTTGGGTCATGGGGAGGGAGGGAACAGGCCCACATGTTCAGACTGGGCCTACACCTTCCATGGGTTTCACATTCGGGGCAGGTAGGGGACCTGCAAAGGAGTAGACCCAGCTCTCACATCCAAAGCCTGGGCTGCCACCTGCTTTGAAGGCTCTGGACCCTCTCCAGGCATGACCCTCCTTGACAGTGTTCCAAGGGATACCCCTGGCCTGCAGCCTGTCCCAGTGACAGGTGACCAGCCTCGCCCAGCCAGGCAGTGAGTGCACTTAGGGCTTTGCTTTAATGCCGATGTCCTTTTTCCTTAGAACTCAGCCTCCTCCCAGGCTCCCGGTGGGCCCCAGCCACAAGCTCTCCAACAATTACTACTGCACTCGTGACGGCCGCAGGGAAGCCACGCCACCTTCCATTGTCATGTCCTCACAGAAGGCGCTGGTGTCAGGCAAGTCAGAAAGGTGAGGATGCCACACACTCCTGCAGCCAGCCTGCTCTCTTGCCTCTGCTTTTCAAGGTCCCATTTACTTAGCATCAACTGTGTTACCAGGAACTTTTCATCCGCAAACTCACTTAATCCCCCCCTATCCCACTGGCCTCAGGCAGGGGTGGGTTTCCTATAAATCAGATAAAGTTCCAAGGTCCTATAGTTTCAGGTGTGCAGTATAATCATTTGATAGCTGTATATATTGCAAAATGATCACAGTAAATCTACTTAGTGTTCCTCATTTTACATAGTTACAAATTTTTTTTTTGTAATGAGAACTTTTTAAAAAAATGTATTGATTTTTAAAAAATATATATTTTATTGATTTTTTACAGAGAGTTAGAAATATCGATGAGAGAGAATCACCGATCAGCTGCCTCTTGCACACCCTCCACTGGGGATGTGCCCGCAACCAAGGTACATGCCCTTGACCAGAATCGAACCCAGGACCCTTCAGTCCACAGGCCAACGCTCTATCCACTGAGCCAAACTGGTTTCAGCAAAAAAAATGTATTGATTTTTTACAGAGTAAGGGAGAGGGAGAGGGATAGAAACATAGACCAGCTGCCTCCTGCACACCTCCTACTGGGGGTGTGCTGGTAACCAAGGTACATGCCCTTGACTGGAATTGAACCTGGGACCTTTCAATCCATAGGCCAATGCTCTATCCACTGAGCCAAACCGGTTAGGACTGTAATGAGAACTTTTTTTTTTTTTTTTAATAATGAGAACTTTTAACATCTCTCAGCAACTTTCAGTATACAATACAATATTATTAATGCATGGGTGGAATCACCCAGGCCCTGTCCCCAGTCTGGGTGGGGGTGCCGATCAGGAGTGGGGCCAGCTGGGGCAACTGTGGGTGATTGGTTGTCCAGCTGGCCCTGGTCAAACTCCCAATGGAGGGGACAAATTGCATATTAGCCTTTTATTATCATATATAGGATAGTCACCATGCTGTATATTACATCCCCAGAACTTTTTTTTTTTTTTTGGAACTTATTTTATAAATAGAAGCTTGTACCTTTTAACCCCCTTTGCCCACCCTCCCCACCCCCACCCCTGGCAATCTTTTCTCTGTGTCTGTGAGCTGGTGTGTATGTGTTTTTTAGATACCACATATAAGTGAGGTCATATGGTTCTGTCTGACTTATTTCCCTGAGCTTAATACCTTATAGTCCTCTAGGACCATCCATATTGTTGCAAATGGTAAGATATCATTCCTCTTCCAGCTCAGCTTTGGCAGCCACTGAGAAGAAGGCGGTGACACCAGCTCCTCCCATACAGAAGTGGGAGCTGTCCCAGGACCAGCCTTACCTGTGATGCTGCTCTGGGCCACCTGGCTGTGCCCTCAGGACGACCGAGGACTTCCCCTCCTCCTCTTCCATTCTGGGAGAACGTGACCTAACTTATGACAAATATATTGTGCTCTCTAGTATCACTTCCATCTTTACTTATATATATATATTGATTTCAGAGAAGAAAGGAAAGGGAGAGAGAGATAGACACATCAAAGATGATTGGCTGCCTCCTGCATGCCCCCTACTGGGGACCAAGTGTACAACCTGGGCATGTGCCCTGACCAGGAATTGAACTGTGACCTATTTCATAGGTTGACACTCAATCACTGAGCCATGCCAGCTGGGCCATTTTTACTTTTAAAGTGACACTGGGTTTACTTGCATTTTGGGGTGAAGTTGGTGCCAAATCTCTTAATTCTGTTAGTGCTTCAGGGACAGAGAGGGATAGTTCACAGGCTCCAGGGTGACATGTCACAGACATGGATGACATTCCATGTCTGTGGGGGGCCCAGGGATATCCCATTCCTTCTCCGAGGGCCTGGCTCTATCCCTGAGAGTGGTGGGCTGGCTTTCAGGGCCTTGGGCAGGCTCTGACTGAGAAGACTGGGCCAAAGACATACTGCTCACTTACTCAAGAGCTTCCCCAGCCATTGCTCATGTGGACATTGGCTAATACCCTCCCACCATGGCCCCTGCCTGACTTTGATCACCTTGCAGCTCAGCAGGGAAGGCAGAGGGCAGCAAGGTGGCTCACGGGTAAAGCTCACCTAGGACAGCTGAGGAAGGCCTCCCTGAGCCAGAAGCCTTGCTCCCAGGGCCTCGGGGTATAGGGGTGAGGCAGAGTCAGCCAGGGAAGTAAGGGGCTAGTGCCTGTGGAGGAATGAGCAAGAGAGTAAAAGCCAAAATAAAGTGGTCCCATTCTGGCTGCAGGAGCAGCACTGACCTCAAGGGAGTGGCATGGCTGCCCCATGAAAGAACCCTGCAGCCTTTCCAAAGGTTTAGATCAGCTGTGTGCCAGGGGAGTGGAAGTGGAGAGCAAGGCAGGAAGCAGGAAAGGGTCACAGGCAGGAGGTATAAGTGGACCAGAGTGGACATCTCCAAATGCTAAAAAGCTCATCAGAGTAGGGAGCCCCGCAGGCTAAAACACCTGGTAAGACTTCCTGGAGGAGGTGGGGTTTTGGTTGGGGTAAATGGTAAGTGCTAAATCAGATTCAGGAAGGCAGGAGGGAAAAGAAGGCTGAACAGGGTATAGAAGCTACAAGGAGGGCAACCCTGGAGGGCTTCAGAAGACCCAAGGCAAGATGTGCCCTTGAAGGTGTCAATAGTTTTATGACCCAGACTTGAAATTTGGGGAGGGAGTAAAATAGGACACCTGAGCTCTTTCTGTGTGCTAGGTACAGTTCTGAATGCTTCCTATCCATGATCTCAGCTCCTTTGACCCTGTGAGGTCACCACTGTTGCCAAGTCTCCAACAGCCTTTAAGGCAGACACTTCTACCCCCAGTCCTATTTGCTACTCTTCCCACCTGCTTTTGCATCTTTGCTTCTTAACCATTTCCCCTGAGAGATTATCAGAAAATAAAACTACTCCAAAAGCAGTTATAACTTCTAACATTTTCAGATAGTGAAATGTGCCATCGACCGGCAAATATAGGACCATTTCTGTGAAAATATATACGCTATAGTGTAGCTTCACAGGAACGGGGTGGTAAATACTTGCATGTCCGGCATAATGCTGAAGGACAGTGATTGGTCTGGATGAGGTCTTGCTGGCAGTGGGACTTGCTTCTGAAGACAGAGCTGTAGGTGAAGATATTTTCTAGAAGAGAACACAGAAATCAGATCAGCTAGAAAGCTTGCAGAAGGATTGTTATTTTATGTGCCTTCTGGGTGAGTGTGAGAAGTGAAAACCCAAGGATTGCCTTCACATATCTTGTTCCAGAAGTGAAGAAAAATACTTCCCTATTGGGTACATGAGGACTAAATGAGACTCTGAGCGTGAGTGACCCAGGTGCCAGGGACAGGATGGTCATTTTTTTTTTTTTTTAAAGGAATTAAGTTCTTAGGTCGTCTGGAAAACCAGATGGGCTGAGCCCCCAAATGGCGCCAGCCAGGATGTTGATATTTAAAAGCGTACTAGGTAGTAGGCCCTGGGGACGTAAGAACAGCTTTCCTGAACTCCTGGGCCTGACATTACAGTTGGGAATCAGACACTAAACCAAAATAAGTAAATAAATTATATAATGTGTCGGGTGCACGAAAGAAATACAGTAAAGAGGGAAGCAACACCATCTAATGTGTCAGCTGCACAAAAGATGATCAGAAGGCGGGGATGGGCGTGTCTGAGGGGAGTGGTTGCCATACAGTACACATGCTGCGGCATGCATGTAGAACGTTAAATGTTGTACTTAGACGTCAACAAGTTCGTTTCCACCCCTCCGTTCTTTCGCTGGACCCTATCGCAGGAAAAGTGCGAAAGTCTCAAATCGCGGGCCCCCTCGCATTCGGGCATTTACGGTAGGCTTGGCAGCCAGACCGCTGTGCTCGGCCCCGCCCCCGGCGGGTGCGCGTGCGCGGGAGCCAGAGCGCCTCCGGAGCCAGACCGCGCGCCGCGCCGGCTGGAGGCACGCTGAGCGCGCGGAGCGGGTGGATGGCGCTGGGAGGAGCGCAGCGGACCGCGGCTCTGGGGCTGACCCTGCAGCTGCTGCTCGGCTTCGTGCCGGGCCTGGAGGCAGCCCCGCCCCGGACCCGGACCCGGCCCCGGCCCCAGACCATAGGTGAGTGAGCTCCGCGCTGCCCGTGCGCCCACCTGGCCAGCCGCCGCGCTTCGTCCCCGCCGGCTCCGCTTCGCCATTGGCTGCGCCGCGCTCCGTCCGGACACTCCTCCCGCTTGTGGCTGTTGACTCTGGGAAACTGCGAGTTCTCACCGATGGGAGAGTTCGCTGCCTGCCTGTAACCACCGTGCTCTGGCCCTGCGCACACCCGCACCAGCTCTGCTTTGCCGTCACCCGTTGTTACCTCCAGCCGTCCGTCCTTGAGCCCAGTGCGGGCTCGCCCCGGGCCCTGGCTGACCGACCTCTAGCGCTGCGGGGTCGGTCACCTGGTACCTGGTCCCTTCCGCTGGGCAGCGCCTTCCACACCATCCCGTCGGAGCTGAGGCCATGTGGCTGTTTCCTCGGCGGCCGTCCTCCCACCTCCCAATCTCTGCACTTTTCTCCTCTAGCCTTAGAGAACGCAAGGTCTCCCTCCCGGCGACCCCTGGCCGATGTGATGCTGGTGGCTGTCTCAGGCTCCCAGAGGCAGCGGGGAGGGTTAGAGTGGCCTCCGTGTGTGCAAAGGTGCCCCTGACTTTGAGCTGTGAGCTCAGGTTCGCACGCGTGGGGTCTCCTTTTCTCTGGTCCTCTACCTCATCCCCAAGTCCCTGCCATTTCAGGTTAAATGTGCCGTAAGGAAGGCAGGACTCCTGTTAACCAAGGACCAAGCCCTTTACATACAAGCGGTCTCTCAGGACTCTGAGGTAGGGACTCCTAGCTGCCCCATTTACAGGTTAGAAAAACCAAGGCTGGGAGGAGAATCACTGGTCTGGCCCCCAGCCTTATGAGGTGGAGTCAACTCTGCTCTGCTGCCACTTTACAAAGGGACACACTCCAGCAGGCCAGGGGGAGGTGTCGTTGCTTGTCCAGGCCAAGACTGGCCTGGCCTGGGGAGTAGCTGAGCCTGGATGCGGGCAGGGAAGGATCCAGCTCCAGGCTGATCTACAGCTCTTCCCGCTCCAACCGAGCTCGGACTGTGTGGCCTGCAGCAGCCGTTGGGTCTGGAGGTCCGTAGAGGAGCCGGCGGTGGAGAGGGGGGTGTTTGGAGGCTCAGGCCCCTGTGAGTAAAAGTGGAAGGGGCGCCGAGACCGGTTTGGCTCAATGGATAGAGCGTCGGCTTGGGGACTGAAGGGTCCCGGGTTCGATTCCGGTCAAGGGCAAGTACCTTGGTTGCGGACATATCCCCAGTAGGGGGTGTGCAAGAGGCAGCTGATCGATGACTCTCTCTCATCGATGTTTCTAACTCTATCTCTCTCCCTTCCTCTCTGTACAAAATCAATAAAACATATATTTAAAAAAAAAAAAAAAAAAAAAGTGGAAGGGGCAAGTGGACCAGCATCAAATGGGGCCAGGCTGGGGCCGCGCCAGGGATTTGCCACCCATCTTGCTACATCCAGGAGGAAGCCCTAGATCTAGTCACTGTCTTGCTCTGTCCCTCAAACTCAGGTTCCAGTTCTCCTGGGCTCCTCCAGGTCAGCACACAGCCGGTTCCTTGCTGTCAGGGATCCAGGAAGGCTCAGATCTCACCTGAGTGTGACCCGTGTTCACTTACTGTCAGGCACCACCCTGGGCTCTCGGTCAGTCACAAGGTCATGGTCCTGGCACACTGAGTGTCCGGTCTAATCCACGTCAGTTTGAAGACGGTGGTTGTAAGTGGGAAGCAGAACCTCAGGAGGCTCTGAGAGGGACAGGAAGCCCCTCCTAGGAAACAGATTGGGATCTGGGGGCTGAGGAGGAAATCACCAGGTGGAGTGGAAGGAGGGGAGGGTATCCTGGGCCAAGACAGAGGCCCCGAGGTGGAACAAGCCAGGCTTTGTGAAGAGGAAAACGTGGGAGGAACTGAGCTTCCAGGAAGGGTTCAGGGCTGGGCCAGGCCTTGTGGGTCACTTGGCGGAGGTCGGATTTGGTGGTGAGGGGGCTGGTGGGCCAGGAGACGGCTTTGAGCTGACGGGCGGCGTGGTTACCAAGCGATGTGCCGGAGAGGTCTCCAGCGCCCAAATGGAGATGAGGTTGGGGGCCTGGTCAGGATGCGGAAAGTGGTCAGATGTGGAGGAGTTTAGGAGCTAAGATGATAAAGCAGGGTGACAGCTGATCTTTTACCCCTTTGTTAAGTAGGTAGCATGTCATGGCCTGACCCAGGGCAGGTTCAGAGAGGGCCCCTCCCCGAGTCTGTTTCACCATGCGGTTTGGAGAGAGTCCTGGGGAGACCATCTGACCATGGGGAGCTTGGTAATGACTCCAGTTTCCGTGAGGCCTGGGTTCCAGCCCTGCCTCTGCCTCCAGTTCTGCCGCTTCTGGCCTTACATCTCCTCAGTGATCTCTTCAGAGTGGGGATCGCAGGAGAACGGCCCAGTAGGGCTTGTGATGAGGCTGCGAACTCTTTCCAGCCCCACATCTGGTGGGTCCTCAGCAAAGGCGCCCAGCAATACGGTGCCAGCGCCCTGGGACCGGCCCGTCTCCCGGTGTTCGCGGCCTGCGACTCCCGGACTTCTGGAGAGGGTCCAGCCCAGGCCGCCCAGGCCTCACTGTGTTCATCCCGCAGGCTCCCCGCCAGGCTTCCAGTGCCGCGGCGGCAGCTACGCTGTGCCCCTCGCCTGGCGTTGCGACGGTGACCCGGACTGCCCTGATGGCAGCGATGAGAAGGAGTGCAGTGAGTGGTCGCACCTCGGGGCGGGGCTTGCAAGGAAGGGGCCACAGGCTGCGATGCTTGTGGAAGGGGGCAGAGTGGGGTAGGGTCTGGTCGGGGGGGGGGGGGGGTGGGCTGTAAGGAGGGAAGTCTGGGTCTCGGGTTTGAGAAGAGGCGAGTTTACACGAAGGTGGGGTTAGTGTGGTGTTGGGCTGTGGGGAGTACCTGGGCCCTGTTGTGGGGGCGCCGGGGACCTGACTGACTCTGTACCCCAGAGACCGGGCCGTGCACCCAGGACGGGCAGTGCTCCCCACCCGGGGGCAGCCCTTGCTCTTGTGACAGCATCGATGACTGCCCCGGTGACATGGACAAGATCCTTCTCAACTGTGGCCGCCAGCCCTGCCCGGCTGGGGAGTTCTACTGCCCGCTGGACAGCACCTGCATCCTACACACCTGGCTCTGTGACGGCCACCCCGACTGTTCCGACTCCAGTGACGAGCTGGACTGTGGTATGTGCCAGGGACCTCCTCGTGGCTGTAGCAGGGGGGAGGGCTGGTCATTACCTAAGGATGTCTGACGGCACATGTGCGACCAGGCTGCGAGTGTGGGCTTGTGCCTCGGCTCTTGTCTGCATACCTGTGCGGGCAGGGAGAGGTCACTCCTAGCACCAGTGCTCACCAGCCGCACTCAGCCTGGGGTGGAGGATGTGCCTCAAGGTCTCCCTCAGGCACATGGAGCACCTGCTAACTCCCCCCCCCCCACACACACACACATACGCCCCTTCCCCAGCTCATGAATGCCTGGATTTATTGCAGGAACTGAGACCCCCCAGCAGGGCATGTCTGTGACCTTGGAGAGCGCCACCTATTTCGGGAATGCCACAGCCACCTTTGTCAGGAACCAGGACTCCGTCCAGTCTGGAAACCGAAGTGCCTACGGGGTTATTGCAGCTGCTGGTATGACGAGCACCCCACTCCTACCCCCGGGCCTGGGGCAGCCGCTCCTAGGAGCTGGGGCTTGGGGAGGGACAGGCTGCAGACCCCACCCCCCATGCATTAGGGTCTTTGTGGGAGTGGGGCTCCTTCTGCTCCCTCACCCAACCCCATCTGTCTGCTCCCCACAGTGGTGCTAAGTGTAGGCTTGGTTGCCGCCATTCTGCTCGTGTTGTCCCGGTTCCTGTGCCCGCCGGGGCTGCTGGTGGCCGTGAAGGAGTCCCTGCTGGTGTCAGAGAAGAAGACCTCCCCGCTCTGAGGAGCAGCTCTCGCCATCATGGTGCCGGGGCCCTGGGTGTGGCAGCCGTGGGGAGTGCATGCGGCCGCTGGCACACCAGGCTCAGCTATGGGCTCTCCCGACCACAGCACTGCAGACCGAGTTCCTGTGGACTTGACCCTAGAGACTGGATGAGCCCCTGAATGTGGGGAGCCTGGATTGGAACATGCCCCACCGGGGTGGGCCCCAGGCCGCTCCAGGGTGGCCTGTGCATAGACACTGCTCCTGTCATAGACACTGCTCCTGTCCTGCCCGTCTGAGGGTGGTGATTAAAGTTATTTTGCATCATCTGCCTGCTTCTGGGCCTCTGTCTCCCTCTGCTGGGCAGTCTGGGCAGCAGCCCACCTCTGTGGCCATTCTGCTTCTTGCTTCCTGGGACCCAGAGCAGGGGCGGTGGGGCAGTCTGCATTACCCACAGGCTTCTTCCAGGAGAGCAGAGCTTGGGCATTGCCTCCTGGAGTCAGAGGATCCCTGTCTATCATGGCTGCCTCTTCGAGATGGCAGCTGGTTTATGCTCCACCGCATTTTAAAATGTAGTTTTATTATTCAGGTTTGAGAAGGCCAACAGATCAGGAGAGGACACGTTGTCCTTGGCTGGTGTGGCTCAGAGGTTGAGCATTGACCTATGAATCAGGAGGTCATGGTTTGATTCCCAGTTGGCACATGCCCAGGTTGCAGATTCAATCCCCAGTAGGGGGCATGCAGGAGGTGGCTGATCAATGGTTATCTCTCTCATTAATGTTTCTATCTCTTTTTTCCTCTCTGGAAAAAAAAAAAAAAAAAGACTGCCCTAGCTGATTTGGCTCAGTGGATAGAGCATCATCTGCAGACTGAAGGCTCCCAGGTTTGATTCTGGCCAAGGGCACATGCCTGGGTTGCAGGTTCAATCCCCAGTGGGTGGTGTGTGGGAGGCAACTGATCAGTGATTCTCTCTTGTCATTGATGTTTCTATCTCTCTCTTCCTCTCCCTTCCTCTCTGAAATCTATATATATTTATATATTAAATCAATATGATATAATATATTATATATATTAATATATATATTATATGTGTTAAAAAAAAATAAAAGATACATCGTGTCCTGGCCACTGTTTCACCATTGGTTAGAGCATTGGCCCGTACACCAAAAGGTTGTGGGTTTGATTCTCAGCCAAGGGCATGTACCTGGACTGCAGGTTCAATCCCTGGCCCTGGTCAGGTTATGAGCAGGAGGCAACCAATAGATGTGTCTCTTTCACATCTACATTTCTCCCTCTTTCCCCCTCCCTCCACTCTCCAAAAATCAGTAGAAAAAATAACCTTGAGTGAGAATTAACAAAGAAGAGAAATGTAACTAAGAGGAGGGCCCACCTCTGCAGGTAGGGCCACACAGTCAGGAGGCAGAGGGCAGGAGAGAAGGCCAGAGCCGTGACTGTGGTTCCCAGCAGAGGGGTGGGTGAGGCGTGGGTAAGGCAGGGTAAGCAGGCCTGGACTGCGAGTTGGAATAGTCTCAGTGGGCTCGGCACAGGCACTGTTCTGCGTCAGTCTGTTGACAGAGATGCATTCAGCTAGGAAGGCCTGAGACACACCTGGGTGTTGTGTTCTGTCTCAACACATTTCCCTGACCAGAGCCAGTGTTGTGGCTTGCCCGGTTCAATCCCCAGTAAGGGGCATGCAGGAGGTGGCTTGTGATTCTTTATTTTTTAAATTTTTCAACAGAGAGGAAGGGAGAGGGATAGAGAGTTAGAAATATCGATGAGAGAGGAACTTTTGTAATACTATGAACAATAAAGGTTTATTTAAAAAATAAATAAAATTAAATTAAATAAAAATAATAAATTAAATAAAAATAAAACTCTGGGTGGGGGGGGAAGATATTGATGAGAGAGAAACATCAATCAGCTGCCTCCTGCCCAACACCTACTGGGTATGTGCCTGCAACCACGGTACATGACCTTGACTAGAATCGAATTCAGTCTGCAGGCCAATGCTCTATCCACTGTGCCAAACCTGTTAGGGCCCTTGTGGTGCTTAGTATGATCCCAGGATGCAACTCAGCAGCAACCATCAGGGAACTTCAAGGACAAGATTTATTACTCATGGGTCCTGGGGCTTACATGGCAGGCTCGGGGCCACTCGGCGTGATTGGGAGTGAGGGATGGCACGGACCTGGGGGTTCTGCCTTTATTAGGGACTGAGGGTGAGTCATCTAGGGCTGCCTGGGTTCTCCGTTGGCTTATTTAAAGCATAAGAGCAGGAATGAGGGCATGGGAAGGGAGGAGCAAGGTCACTCAATGGTCAGTTACCCAGGTCACTGGGCTTTCTGAAAGAGGGTCCTTTATGTGTGGGAGCAGCGGGTCCCTATCTGGGTTGTCTTGCTAGTAGACTGGCATTGTGTTTATTCAAGCTGGTTGTCTTTTGAAATGGATGCTTCAGCTATCGAAAGCTTATTTTCAGGCCTCACGCCAGTGGTCGGCAAACCGCAGCTCATGAGCCACATGTGGTTCTTTGGCCCCTTGAGTGTTCTAACGCCACTTCTTCAAAATAGACTTGCCCTGGCCGAAAACCGACTTCTGCGCGTGGGCCACGGAATTTCAATCGCACTGTGCTTGTTTTGTGGAAGAGCCACACTCAAGGGGCCAAAGAGCTGCATGTGGCTTGTGAGCCACGGTTTGCCAACCACTGACTTACATATACTGCCCTTACTTGGCACCTGGTCCTGGGTTGATCAGAGCAAGGGCATAATGGCTCTGGATTAAAGTTGAGTTGTTTGCTATCTCCAGGAGCTAGCTAACCCTGAGGAACAATCCCTCCCTGGTTAGAGAGATCCCAGTAGCCAGAGCATCAAGAAAGCGGAAAATATAGACCAGCTGCTGTGGCTCAGTGGTTGAGCATCGACCTATGAACCAGGAGGCCACAGTTTGATTCCAGGCCAGGGCACATGCCTGGCTTGTAGGCTCAATCCCTAGTGTGGGGTGTGCAGGAGGCAGCCGATCAATGATTATCATAATCATTGATGTTTCTGTCTCCCTCCCTCGTCTCTGAAATCAATAAAAAAATTTAAAAAACAAATACAGAAAATATAATTAATATACAGTAGGTCCTCGGGTTATGTCTGAGATCCATTCCTACTCGATGTAACTTGATTTTCGCCGTAAGTCAGAACCCACCTACATAAGCACCTACATCACTCACATGGACACAGCAGAAATGAAGTGAAACAGTAAAAAAAAAAAAAATTAAAAGAAAGATAAAAATTCCTGGCCTTTTCTTGTGGTAAATAAATAATAAAAAACAGCCGAAACCAGTTTGGCTCTGTGGATAGAGCGTCGGTCTGCGGACTGAAAGGTCCCGGGTTCGATTCCGGTCAAGGGTATGTATCTTGGTTGCGGGCGCATCCCCAGTAGGGAGTGTGCAAGAGGCAGCTGATCGATGATTCTCGCTCATCGATGTTTCTAACTCTATCCCTCTCTCTTCCTCTCTGTAAAAACTCAATAAAATATATTTTAAAAATAAAAATAAAAAATAATAAAAAACATAAAGCACATATGTACATATGTGGTTAGAGCATTGGCCCATACACCAAAAGGTTGTGGGTTTTATTCTCGAAATAACAGAACTTTTATTTTTTTATATAAATAAATAGGAAATGACATAACCTGAGGACTGTCTGTACATCCTAACTGCGGGGTGATGAGGACAAGGCTCTTCTCTGACCCTCTTTCCTCATCACTGAATGGGGTGGCCAGGCCCCGATAGCCTCTCTGGGGGGCAGTGGCCTCACTGACATCCTTGTAGGTGGTTGGATATTCGTCATCAGCTGGCTCCATGCAGCCCAGTGCTGGGCGACACCCAGGCCCCATGCAGGGTCCTGTACAGGGTCTTGGGGCAGGAAGCTGGCTCCTGTTTGGAAGGAATGAAGCACCAGAAAAGCTTCCAGGAGGTGGTAAAGCTTGGCTTTGGGACTCTGCCCCCACTGGGGGAAGGTGGTTGAGGGGGGTTTTGGAGTCTAGGCCTTAGGCAGCATGGTGGGGGCTGAGCTCTCTGAGGGGCAGAGGGAGTTGAGGCTGCTGCCAGGGCAGAGGGGCCTTCTGCAGTACCAGGCCTTCCCTCTGCACCCTTTGGTGCACCTAAGCTGGCCAAGACGTCCTGTCAGAGAGTGGTGCTGACAGGAAGGCATTCTCACAGAGAGAAGGGTTTTCTTTTTAAAATTCTTTGATTAGAGAGAGAAAGAGTAAGAGAGAGAGAGAAACATCGATTTGTTGTTCCACTTCTTTATGCATTCCTTGGTTGATTCTTGTATGTGCCCTGACCAGTGATCAAACCCACACCTTGTTTCAGGGGGACACTCCCAAATGGCCTACCGGGCCAGGACCAAGAGCAGGTTTCCTTGTTTTTAGGTTCCGGGGTTTTCTCCTTCGCTCAGGCGTGGTCAGCTGCAGTGGGCCAGGGGCTATGAGGTGGTGGCAGGTGTCACAGGCTACCTAGCTGTAGAGGGCCCCTTGGGAATGAGACCTTAATTTAAAGGTCATCCATCAGCTGAGTCCGAGGTGACTGGCATGGCCGTGCTCTGGAAACAGCCTCCCAAAATGTCAGAGACTGTAATCAGAACTGATTTCTTATCTTTATCCTTGTGCTTGGAATGAGGAACGAATAAGACCTTGACTTACCCAGGTCTTGATATGCTAAATCCCAGGAATGAGGGAATGAATAGGACCTGGGCACACCCAAAATTTCTTTGACCTTGAACACCCCCCCTTTCCCCCTCTGGAAATCAGTAAGTGCGCTGTGTTGCCTGAGGTGTCAGAATGACAGCCTCCACCCGGCACCCAGCTTTTGGATCTACTTCTGCCTCTTGTCTCTTTCTTTTATTTATTTTTTTAATTTTTTTTATATATATATATTTTATTGATTTTTCACAGAGAGGAAGAGAGAGGGATAGAGAGTTAGAAACATCGATGAGAGAGAATCATCGATCAGCTGCCCCTTGCACACCCCCTAC